CACCCAGGCGAGGCTCCAGCTACTCTCAGCTACACTTCGAAGCCCCTCCATCCCTATGCCACAGCTCTGAGGGAAAATACCCGGCAGGACCAGCATTGAAACAGGAGCAGCCTGTTCGCAATGCATCCCAGAGTCAGGAAATACAGCTGTGCTATCGGAAAATTGGAAGTACACCCTCCCCATGCCCCCCGCGCCCTGGCTGACCCCCAAAAGCCCCTCACAGTGGTATTTCTACAAGTGCCTCACCCAGAGCTGCCCATTTATCATTCACCAGCATATTCTATTCTACTGGACAAGACTTTGCTTTTGATGCATCTGATTAGAGGCAAGGAAGAAGAGAAACCCCAGGCTTCAGCTTGGGATTCAGAGGAATCATTACTAGGAAGGACAGACATGACCTCCTGGACACCCACTCCTCACGTTGGAGCAAAGCCGACCCCTTCCTGCAGACAGGGTTGATTCAGTTACGTCCCTTTCTTTTATATGGGACAGGAGGGATAAGAACAGACGTCCTTGTGGGGATGGCGAGCTCGGAGAATGTTTGGAGAAGGGGTTGGTTAAGGTAGGGAGACATGGCCTGCAAGAGGCTGACAGCTCCAAGGTCAAGAGGGATCAGCCAGATGTTCTCGCTCCAAAACATGCCCACGTTGGATGCAAGCCTCTCCCCACGGTGCAAGAATGTACGATATTCAGGGCTCCCTGCAGGGAGGCAAAGAGAGAAGAGACAGAAAACAGCAGACACAGGTTGAACCTCACCCCAGGCCATCTGGAAGGAGGAAACCAAAACATGAATTTCAGCAAGGCAAAGCCCCAAGGAACCTCCTTTCCAGGCCACCTACCCTTCTCTCTCCCAGCAAAAGGCCGGAAGGAGCTAATCCCTATGCCCCCACCTTGTAGATAAACCAGGCTCCTACAACCCCCACCCAAATCACGGCTCCTGAATGAAGGCGGCTCCTCCGCCAGGCACGAATGGGTCCTGCCAGCGAACTCCAGGTCCGCAGGAGGCAGCCAAGGGGAAGCTGTACCCACCTCCGAGGACCGCGGGAGCCTCACCCGAATTACAATGCAGCCTATTTGACGAGCTGGAACATCATGTCCTCGGCCACCTAAGTTCTTTGGCTGTCACCAACCTGAAGTAAACAGATTCTGCAGCAGCAATAAGCTCGTTACCAAGGCCACCGTATTGATCCCAAAGTGTAATTAAAATTCACAGTTCAAGCAGCCCAATGCGGCAGGGCAACTGGGGCAGCCTCCTAAAGGCATGAATAGCCCCAGCTTCCGCACCCCGCATTCTCAGAGGCAGGGAGCCCATGGGGCAAGCTCAGCTGCTCAAAAAAACCACCCAAAATGGCAGCTTTCTCTTTGGACCATCGACCAAGACGCCCCAGAGCGCCTGTTCCCCATGCCGTGCCCTACCAAAGGTTAACCACACCGGGGCAGTGTGCTGAGACGATGCTTAGCCCAAGGTTAGAGGGGTACGGTGCAGACCAGGTTCAGGTGTTGCTGAGCATGGTCAAGTCCCCAGGGCTTTGATGAGGGGCTCCAGCATACCCTGCTGAGATGGTAACAAGATGCTCCTCCTTGGTGGGACGCCCTGCCCCTCCTAGAGCAGCCCCCAGCCCCGCACTGATCCAACACACGGTCCCATCAAGAGCGAGCAGGGTCACGCTCTGCAGAAGTGTTAGCACAAGGTCCTTTGCACCCATGGCTCCACGAGGCCAGCAGCAGGCCCTGGGACAGTCACCTCAAACGTCACCACCATCTGCTGAGTGAAG